GAAGGAGAAAGAAAAAAAGAGAGAGGAAAAGAGAGGGAAGAGAGAGAGGAGAAGAGAGAAAGAAAAACAAAGAGGGGAAGAAGTAGGCCGACGATGGCCTGACTTGCTCGAGAATGGGGAGAAGAGAAAAATGAGAGAGAGAGAGAAAGGAAAGGAGAGAGAAGCAGAAAAGGGAAGAGGGAGAGAGAGAGAGAGGAAGAGGGGGAGGAAGAGAGAGAGGGGAAGAGAGAATAAGAAAAATGGAGAGGAAGAGAGAGGGAAAGAGGGAGGAAGAGAGAGGGAAAGAGAGAAGAGAGAGAAAGAGGGAAGGAAGAGAGACAAAAAAGAGAGAGAGAGAAGGTTGTCATGAGAGAGAGAGAGAGAAAGAGAGAAATAAGGGAGAGGGGAAGAGAGAGGGAAAGAGAAGAAGGGAGGAGAGATAAAGGGTGAGGAGTTACTTAATGAGGTCCTTGAACCGGACCAGTGGCTAGGTTGGGAATGAAGAGCTACAAGTTGGAAGTGAGGGATTCCAAGTGGGGAGTGAGAAGTTCTAGGGGTAATGTTTCATTGGGAAAGTTTTCTCTCTCCTCTCTTTGGGTGAAAGGGATAGAGACAAAATATTGCAAAACAAGGGAAAAACTCATGCCAATTGCAATAATTTTTGAGCTTATGAACTTCTGATCTCCCCTTCTCCTTTTTTTTTTTTTGAAGTTAGGGTTATACCTGATTATATAGCACCTCTTTGAAACAATATTCTTATTCTATCGTAGTGTATTCTACAATATGGAATATGGATTAGAATCATTCTATATAACTATTAGATATGAATATTCTATTAGTGTAAGTAATGAAATAAATACTCAAATTGTATATTACAGCAACAATGCAATAGAAATAGACATAATGAATAAACACATTAACAGTTAAACAAAACAAGGGCGGATGCTCAAAGCTAACCTAAATTATTGAAAAATATACTTTTTGTGATTTAAATTTAAATCCCATTTTTTTGAGTAAAATAACCGTTTTGACCCTACCCACAATCTTGAAAATGGCAAGATGATCCCCAAAAAGGGGCCATAGGCTATGGTGCTCATCCAGGGCCTTTTCGGCAACCCTCCAGTGAAAAGAATATCATGGTCTCGGTGAGGTGATCATTTTAATATATTATTTGATCATCGAATCGAAGTGTTGAGCTCTTGACAAAATTCGGCAAAAGATGGGAAATTTACGATCTTAGATCTTGTCCATTCCTTGGTATTTTAGTTCGATCTTTCCATTGTAGAACGACGAGGAAGTCGTCATGGTCATTTGGTGACAAGAACAACTCGATTTGGTGACTGGAGCACCACTTTTCGAATTGGGGAAGTTGTCGGAATATGGATTCTGATCACCAGAAAATACCTCTTTTTGCCACCTCGAAATACATCCTTTTCGGTCATATGATATTTACTTTGGATTGAAGCCCTCGATGTCCCGATCACAACAGACCCGTTTTCAAGTCGATTCGAGGACGAGGCTTCGTGATATGACCGTTTGATTGAAGGGATCTCCTCTTTATAAAAATCTGCAACACATGAAATTTCTTAAGCGACTTCTCTCTAAGATTTTTTCTATCTCGTGTTGTGTGTCGTGCCACATATCAAAAACGTGCGCGCCGTCGAGACAGAGATCCTCCTAAAATTTGAGCTTGATTCGACTTGAAAAGTTATGCCCCTTTGAAGGTGATCCCGATATCATATTACACACCCACCAAAATAGTGTAACCTATCCTTTTTGGGTAAGTTGGGCACAAAATGGTCTAGACGCATCCGAATGAGCTGAAATTTGATATCTTGGGGTTTTCGAACCTTATGAATCCAATGGAAGTAATAGCACTGGTGATAGAATTGTAGTTATAAGATACTTTTTCAACATCTTAGAGGCCGAATCTGAAAATTGGTTTTGCCTGTCATCCACCTTAATGTCGTTAGATTACGACGAAACTTTGCTTCTTAGGGAGTCAAGTGGTACCCCCACATTCTTTCTGGGGCCCATCCATTCCAAATCATGATTTCGCTCCAGATTCCAGATCAGGATTTCGTTCCGGATCAGGGTTTATTTTAAAAGTTCCACAGTCCGCAAGCATTTTGGTACCCACAGGTCGAGGTCGCAATTGGCCTCCTCCTTATTCGCATCGAGGATACAAGTGTCGAAAAATACCCTAAAACAAAGAAATTGTTTCAAATTTTGTTACCAAATAATGGAGAAATAGAATAAATGAATTTTGTGTAGTTTACCCAAACAAGAGATTTGAGGAATTCATGACAAGAATCCTTGATACAGTAAATTCATTAATTTTCTTGGATTTCAAATATCCAAGATTCCTAATTTGATCCTATCCAAATGGACCCTTAGAGATTTTGACAAATTAGATAACATGCTCCTTATGTAATAGGAGACCGCGAATAGTGAGGCAATTTGAAGGGGAAAAATATTTACGGAAGAAAAGATTTAAGATTAATGAAAGTCTCTTGTTCAAAAAAAAAAATGGTTGCTAGGGTTGCAGCCCTATCAAAATAACTAAATCTTCACCTAATAACTCATTGACAATGCAATTCAAGTAATGGAAAAAATTAATCATCTCGGCTTAAACATTATGATTGTAAAAGAAAAAATGATTTCAAGCTCTAAAAAAGTGTACATTGTAACAAATTATCTAGACCTTCCATTTTACCTTAAAAAATAAGTGTTCACATATCGACACGATCTGTACCTTTTTTTGAAGTTCCAAATTTTAATTGTTGGTTTTGAAAATTGATTTTAGAACCATCATGAAAATTTCCGTTACCAAAAATTCTTTCCAGCTGAGTATTTGAGGTGATGCTCTAATTTGTTTTCATGAAGCTGTCTCACATACCAAAAAAACAAAACGATTAATGAAAGCCTCATCACTTAAATTGCAAAATAATCAATGGAGTTTAATAGATTTCTGCATGGAAACCCAATAAAATCCAACAAACTACAACTACAATCCAAGGATTGGCAACTCTGACCAGATGCATCGTCAATGAAAATTTTATCGTTGTCAAAAAAAAAAATGACAAATTTATCTTGGCATACTTGGCAAACACCAACTTCCCGAAGAATACCAATCAAAAGATCAACCGAAAATTTCACCCCACATTTTACTAGATTTTCGACAAAAAATTTCATGAAAATTAAACGAAGTTTGAAACCAAAGTTTCGACATTGATGCAGGGTCCAAGCCCAAGTCCAAGCCTTCTGCCACGTTAATCGAGCTGCCCCAAAACAATGTCAGCCCTACCACCACCTAAAGCAAAAAGAGGCAAAAAGAGAGTTACATTCATATAGCAGACGTCAACATGGAACTATACATGTATTTATACTGTTGCAAAACGAAAATATTTTCAACCTTTTTTTTTCTCTTTTTTTCTTTTTTTTGGTGCAAGTTAGGTTGTCTGTAACTACAGAAGGATCTTGTATGTTTAATATGATAATTATGTTCCCCAAGCCCTAACAATTGGGGAATTTCACTTTTCATGGCGATTTTCTTCTCCTATTCTACAAGACCTGCGGAGAGGTAGTTACCCAAAAAAGAACCTGCCGAGCAGCAACCATTGGTTTTGTTGCGACAGAACCAGGTCCCCTAAATGGCTTAGTCACATTAGGGTGGGCAGGGCACTTGTTGGGCTGCCTCACTATGTAAATCTGGTCACCTATGCTGTTATACATATCCTGGTTCCTATGCCATGTCCAAAGAGCATATGTTTCATTCTTCACCTGCACAGAATAAAGGCAAGGTTATATGCTCCAATAGCTCCTGAAATTTCAACATGAATGACATATCATTGTAGTTTTCCTCATTCAGGCACTCAAAAGACACAGACAGAGAGACCTAAAGTCGGTCTCCTTGCGCAAACATTAAATTTAAAATTGTAAAATTGTAATTGTCGAAACCATTTTACTCAAAAGCAAGCTGGTAGATGTGAAATACAAAATGTGAGAGGAGACTTGAGTTCCTCATAGCTCAATTGTAAGGTTCATCTTGTCACAAACTTAAAGCAGATCCTATTTACCAATTAGAAAACCAGAGAAAAAAAAAGGAAATAGAAACAAATGAACTAATATTTCAACTGAATTCCTTTTGTACAATAAAGCCCACATTAATTTGAACAATATGTAATCAGGCATATTATGATCATTTTACATAACGCTGCAACATGAAAATTCTGACCACTACTCTTTTAAGAATCAAAGATCAGGGGATAATTGTAAACTTCTTACCAAATTATGGTCCATTACAAAATAGACACAGGAACAAAACCATCCAGATAAGTATTTCACTATGTAAATAAAACATAGCCATCACACGAGACAAATCCTCACTCTAAAAAAAGATTAGATGTATATCTTTATCCTTCTTAAATACGGACTATGCTGACTTCTGTTTCTAAAGGGAGCTCAAAACAGAAGCATTTGATGCATCAGATTCTTATTTAAAAATAACTGGAAAAAAATAAACTGAGAATGAATCTCATTGTGAATCAGTACACTACAACACACAGGCTCGTGTGTGTATATGGGCACAAAAAAAAGAAAATTGTGTGATCCCTGATCATCATCAAGAAGAAAACTAGAGAAGAGGGACAGAAATGCAACCAGACTTTTTCAATTCTTAATAATCACAATGGAAAATGGCCTCATGGTTCAAGATAATTTCATACACCCTCATCCTACTGGACGCATCCCCATATGTATCCAGGATCCTCTGGCTACAATCCATATTGGCTCACTTCTTCATACAAATAGGCAGAATAACAAGATTCTGCAGAAAACGTAACACTAACAAAAGGCAACATTAAAAGTTGTGGGTAAAGCATGAATTCAGAAAGAATTAATGATCGTTCACAAATTGAATATACAAAAATTCAGTACCATCCAAAAAATAATAAGGCCTTATCAAAGAATATGGAAATAAACACCATATCAGAAACAAAGCAAGAAAATGAGCTATTGTCATAGAAAAGATATTCAAGTTGGTGCATGGCACATTACAAAAATAATGTAGTGCATTATGGTCACTATCCTGGGAAGATCAAGGAGAAACCACACAAGTAACTTTGTTTTGGAGGGTAGAAGTACCATTTAAACCCTACGATTCTATGAACCAAATGCCACTAATATTTTTTTGGGAAATTTGTCAAACCACACCCAAGAGATTCACTATGTAACATCACACCCGTACCACCCATACCTTTTCTGACTTTCAAAGAGCCCATCACAATATACAGCAAGTTCAAATCATAAGCGGTCACATAATGCTGGAGGGGCAATTTCCAAATTTTATGCTCCATCAAAATTTCAAGAAAATTACTTATGTGAGATATTGGTATCTGTATACACCAAAATCTCATGGATGACTTAGAGAGATACCAATGCCCAAGAACTCCAATACCTCATAGAGTAACTTATTTAGTGAGATACCAATGCCCAAGAACTCCAATACCTCATAGAGTAACTTATTTAGTGAGATACTAGTGTTAAGAAATCCAGATACCTCACAGGGTGTTTAGAGTGCAATAGTGGCATTTGGAAACACCAATAATCTTGTGAACACTTAACACCTGTAAGATAATGGTATTCAAGAGTATCAATATCTCACAAGATGAATTAGTGAGATATTGGTTTCTACAATACCAATACCATGGCAATTTTCTTTGGGTAATATAGGTTTTCAAAGTTACCAATATCATGGTAATCAACTCAGTGGGATGTTGTCATATCTTATTTAGATTGACACATTGATCTTTTAAAACATATGTACCTCACATGGGTAGCTTTCCTAAAAAGTACTTCCATTTTGATGGAGGAGCAGAATTGGAAACTGCCCCTCATCATTTTTAACCCATTAGTGACTCATTATAGTATTGTACTTTAAGAACTTTTCAAAATTAGAACATACAAAATTAGGTCAAATGCTAAACAGTACATCTCTTTGAAGCCGATCAATAAAATTCACTCTATTAGAAAAAAGAAGAAGAAGAGAAGAAAAGAAAATCAACAAAACAATTAAATTTCTCAAGGACCAGATGCTCACCTCTAGGATTCCATGGCCAAAACTGCTCTCTCGATAAGCACCGAATACTGGCTGACGGTCCCAGCAAAACATGCCAGCAGCTGGGCCTGCAGTGAAATTAGCAGCACAGCAGCTGGGCCTGCAGTGAAAGAGTCTGGTGTGGATGACGGCTCAGGGCATCCACCCTTATCATCAGCATGAGGAGCAGACATCTTCTCTCTGTTACCCCCATCCCCAATTGTGATATAAACGGGACCACATGGATCCAACATATAGTTATATACCCTGTTTGATCTGTCATAGGCATGAACCTTACAATAGTTTTCCAGAAGGAGAATAGTTATTAACAACATAGATCTTTTTATTCAATGGACCACGATAAAATTTATTACCAAAATGAGTAAAATATATATGATGGATTTTACTGAAAAAAGTCTTCGTTGAAAGAAAAGCAGAGCATGATAAATAACTATAGTTCAAGACTTTACAATGCAAATGACTCTTTATAAGAGGGAAAAATCTTAATAATAATGTACATGTCCATTGAAGATGATGTCAACACCATAGGAGTAGAGGAGTCCCTCCATCTCCACCCTCATGCATTCAGCTTCTCAGTAATGAGCCTTGTAGGTGTTGTACCATGGTGGGTGCAAAGAAACTACCAGCCATGGAGTCACAGCCCTGTTCACCTTCTCAAGATCCTTCTGCAACCATTTGTACTCGTCTCCTGGAGAAGACAAACATCTAGAACAATAAATTGCATAAGAATATGAAAACTAAAAAAATCCTATTTTAAATTTTGCTTTATTGTTGTGCCTTTTACAGTCAGTCCCCATAAATGGCTTTGAACAGTTTCTCATCGGATGCAATCAACCATAAAAAGTTCCATAGTTCTGTTAATCTGATTGTATTCCAACTTTCTATGATAATATGTGGAAAGAAAATAGAATGTAAATTTCCTTGGCTATTCTCCAAAATTTCATCAAATAGTGTTCCGTAATCATTTTAAGCAACCATTAATATTTTTGTCTTGTCTTTCCATTCAACTGCATCTTCCATCTTGTGGCCATTCTTGATCTTTTCTCCGAAAGAAGATAAAAAATGAGGTAATGACACTCATTTAGAAAGATGAACTTGCTTCTAGCTACTAATAATATGACTGTTTTGAAAAATTTACTAATTTCCAAAAGGAAAATATACATTTCTCTTTTACATTTTCGTGGGAACAAACATAGGAAACAACAAGAACACATTTTCTTTTTGCTGTGTAGAGCAATGATAGTACATGAACAAGAATAGTTACTTTTGAATAATATTTATGGTCTACAACCTCATTTTTCTACACATACACACAATTACCATGTATGGTCAACAACAACACTATAAAACCACTTTACTGAGACACAAAAAGACTTGTGTCCCCATCTATTTATGTAGTATTGGGGTCGTTCATGAGCTCTTCAAGTAGCTGTGCAGAGGTTTACTAATCTATGAAATGTGAAATTTACTTGATGTCACCTAATTTCATGTTTCATTAACAAACTCAAAAGCATTTGCATGCATGATAAACATCCTAAGAATCAAGCCTAAGTCTACATATTCCAATTCACAAAAATAGGACCTCAATGAATTCCAAGGCAACTGACCCAAAATACATAAGAAAATAAGAAGAAACAGAGATAAACAAGAAAGGATTCTGCATTACCTGACTTGTAGTAAGAGGTGTAGGCACCAAGCATGATGAAATGTATGCCCCCGGCATCGAATGAGTAGTAAAATGTGGACTCGGATCCACTCTCCTCACTGGGGAATGCAAACCTTGAGCTGTAAGCCACAAACGTTTTGTTGAAAGCTTGTGCTTCAATTTCATGGTTCCCTTCAACCACCATCATTGGAACTCTTGACACCAGTGGCTCCATAAACCTTCAGTTTCAATCAAACCAAGGTCACCATTTTGGCCCAAAAATCCATTTCATGTCGAGCATGGGTATACAGATCCTTTTCTTTTCATTCTTAATGTTGGAAGAGGCTTAGATCCTTAATTATGTACTGAAAGAAATAAAGAAAAGTGAGTTGTTTACAAATATTTATTCCTCCATTATTAGAAGAGTTACACAAGAAAGAAGCAAAAATAGAATGCCGGTCAGTTCTCTCAAGGCCTGCATAATGTATGGTGTAACCCAATAACACTCATCCAATTTTTTGTCAAAGTAGTGTGGCTCTCTGCAATCTCTCTTACTCTACCCGAAAAAGGCGGCTTGAGGTCTCTTCCCTACATGAGCAGGCGAGAAAACAGGGCAACTCTCTCTCTCTGCACAAGCATCTCTCTCTACACACGAAGGCGGGAGATCTCTCTCTAAAAGCTGGGGCAAAAGAGGGGAATCTCTCTCTGTTAAAACCATGGTAAATAAGGCAAGGTAAGCGGGAGTGCTCTCTCTCTACACAAGCATCTCACTCTAAAATCCAGGGTAACAAAGGCAAGACAGGCGGGAGTACTCTGTCTCTCTCTACACCTCTCTACATGAAGAACTTCCTATCCATAAAAAATTCAAGTTCAGCAAAAACTAGCTCATTGGAGTAGAACTCCAACTTAATGATGCTTACAAGATCAATACTGGAGATTGAGCCCCGGGGAGGTCCTCTGAAAGATCAAAAGAAATTGTCGAATGACCATGATTGTAGGGAGAACTCCCATAGCCCAGTGGTTCTGAGCTCTTTTTAAAAAAAAAAACATGAATACATAGGTTATTGCCAAATAGGAAAAAAACATAACCAACATAGCCTTTGTTTGGAAATGAGGAATTGCACGCTGATAAACCTAATTAATCAGATGAGGAACATAACCAACATAATTCGAAGAGTGAGAAGTAGAAAGATATCCAACTGATAAGAGAGGAAAAAGAGAAGAGAAACAGCATCCAACAAATAAGAGAAAAATAGAGCAAAATAACATAAAACTCAAAAGATAGAGAGAGAGAACCCAACAAACAAGAGAGAGAAATAGAGCAAAGCAACATTCAACAAATGAGAGACAGAGGGTGCAAAACATCAAAGTGAATAGGAGAAAACGAGAAAGAGAGAGAGAGAGACCTTCCCCAGTAATCCCATCGGGGCTGGTAGGTTTCATGGATTGGTGTATCAGGGAAGGCATGGTCATAAGAATCAGCACCAGAGCCATTAGTCAGGTAGAGATTCGCATAACTAACATCCCCAACAAGAAGAATGAGATCTGGATTGTTTCGACGCAGGTGATCCACAGTAGAGGTGGTGTTATATGTCAGACCCAAGTCCCCCACGACCCCAATTCTCCCCGGATAACTTTTGGGGTGAACTTCTGGCATTGTCCTGAAAGACTTGAATGGGCTCATTCCCCCATTTGATGGGTCCCCGCATCGATAATAGTACCTTGTTCCTGGTTTCAGGCCTAGAGAGAGAGAAAGAGAGCTCAGGAAGATTTGGAGATAGAGTTCAAGGGCGTCGAAGCACTGGGCCAAACTTTTAGGGAAGACGAGAGAGGGGCAGGAAGCTAGCTCGGTTTGTTTGGGAGACAAAATTTCAATGGTATCTTACCATTAGACTAATGCCTAGAGAGAGAAAGAGAAAGAGAAGAGAGAGAGAGAGAGAGAGAGAGAGAGAGAGAGAGAGAGAGAGAGTAGTACGTAGTAGTAGTACGTAGTAGAGTAGAGTAGTAGAGTAGTAAGTAAGTAAGTAAACGTAAAGTAAACGTAAACGTAACGTAACGTAACGTAACGTTAAGTAA